AATAATCTGAGATCAAGTTGCAGTAATTAAAAATGAATGTATTATTCAAATGAAGGAATTAGGTTACAACACTCCTCGTATGAAAATATTATTGTGACAGTTGGAAATGATTTTGATTAAAATGGGTAGAGGAATGTAATAACTTTCACTGGGGAGAAATAGACAATTGGAGAATATTAAAAAAAAAACTTTGGCTGCTAGATGAGAGACTAAGTGAGCCTAACTTTCCAAAGCCTTTTTGATATCTTAAACTGCAATTGCTAAGCTTCTGCTGCTATTTTATTAAATGATTTAATTTCCAAAATCACTCAAGGGTTCCAATGACTTTGCAAAATATTTCGATGGGTTGAAAAAGATGTGTTTTCTCCTGCAGAAATGCACACAGCACCGGGGTGGGGTGGTATGGAAGAGTGGTACTTACTACTTTAGCTTATCTTATACTTAAAGGTGAAAATGACTTCGTTTGCCTTACGACAGACATCTCCAGTTACACATGCAATGGCACACGTCACACGTGTGAGAAACAAACTTAATGAAGAGCGGACACGTGCCCCCCGGCCCCTCACTACCCCACTCCACACTTCACTTAGGGACCACCACACTCATCTCCAGTATCGTTTGTAAACACTGCAGAGTTAAATCGTTGTGTTTTATCCAAAAGCAAAAATGGTCTGCTTTGCAGCATCTGTAAAACCAGGTCCTGGGAAAGTAGCAGCATCTAAAAAAAAAAGATAGACTGTAGAACTGTGTATGAGTAAATGCTTTTCAAAAGTGCGCAGCATGCTTTTCTTGGGTACTTTTCTTGTGTTTGCTAATACCAGGGGAGTTTTATGACGAAAGCCAGAGAACACATTCAAACAAGCGACTGCATGTGAACATTCCCCAGTGTCCTGCAGTTAACTGGTGAACAAAAGAGCACGCTATGAATACCGACCAATTGCTTTACACGTTTGTAGTGGGTAGATCGGACTCCTATCACTTTTCCACTGGTCTAAGAGGAAAAGTGCATGCGTGTCACTATGACCACAGAGAAACTGTGGATTTACTCTCCAGGATGGGCTCTGTGCGTTCATCTAGGGTCCTTAGTCACCTGGAGGAAGGTGTAGACTTACGGCTCACCCTGGGGCAGTCTCAGTGGCACCCCTCTTCCAGGCTCTGTCCCTAAGGGCAGAGGTCACAGCCAGGAGAGCCACTGCCCAGATACAACTGACTCGCCAGGGCATCAGGAGCGCGGGCTGCACAGCAAGGGTGGGCGGGAGACAGGTTCCAGTCCCACAGTTCAGGGTCTCTATGGACGTGGACAGTTCGTCCCTCCAGGTCTGTGTGTCAGTGGCCATAGTAACCAACCACATAAAGTTTTTCAGAGACACAAAAAACAGCTGTCATGGGAGGGCTTTAAGAGATGCTGACCAGCATTAGCCAGTGCAAGTAATTCACTACAAGACAGCCCTACAGGAGTCCTACTATGGACAGTGTGTGGAGTTTGTGTCCTACGTGAAAACAAATCTATAAATAGAGCTGCCCACACATGTGCCCACTGTCTGTGTGACCCCTGGCTCATCACCCAGGTCCTTGGGACTCTGTTTTCCTCATCTCTAACAGTTCTAGACACCTCCCTGGTTCCTGCCAGACATAAATACTTGCGATTTTATGAGCAACACTCAATAGAGTAGGATAAAATACACTTAGAGATTTGCAAGAAGTCCTGCCTTGTTTCAGTATCTTATCTAGAAAGATGAAGAGAGAACTGAGATTTCTTTCTGCCAGGATAATTCACCATCTATTAGGATTTTTATTGCTTCTGTGGTTTTTCATATTGTTTTCCTTTTTATCCACTGAAAAATGGATTCGACTGCAGGGAGACCTGGCTATGTACGGGGCACAGAACACCAAGCTGTTGTGGGTTGTTTTTTTTTTTTGGTACCAGGCATCAAACTCGGGTCCTTGCGCTTGCAAGGCAGGCCACCGAACCGCTGAGCTAAATCTCCGGCCCAAAGCTGTTGTTTTAAAAGAAACCTCCTGTGTTCCTGTTGAGCCAGATTTGGCCACTCAGGCTACTCAGGATAAAAATCAGGACCCTTTGTGAATCTGCTTCAGCCGCCCTCTGCTTAGATTTCCTCTCTGGCCCTAGCAGTCCTTTCTGGGCTTTTCTGGGCCATTCCCCGTTGCTCCTGTAGCTTCCTAGTGTGGATACTGCAGAAGAATACTTTTCCCTAGAGCGGGAATTGTGGTTTTCCTCCTCTCCTTGATTCCAGGGCGAGATGGGGACACTTAGCAGGGCCTCCGGGCTTCTGCCTGTATTGTCATTTTATTTATGTCAGAACTGTTGGTTCTCAAAGACTACAATCCTATAATGAGCCTCGGTCTTGAACTTTTATTTTTATCCTGTATCTCCTTTGCCGTCTTTCCTCTTATCACTGCTTATAAAACATGACCACGGTTTGTCCTTAGCTTGACCCTACCTCTGTTGAAATCCTTTTCAAGCCTTAATTATATCCTGTCTCGACTTTCAGTTCCTTCTGAGTGATCTTCCACTCCCTAATTTTTTGGCTTTACTGAATGCTTCAACCAGAGCATCCTGTAGACCCTTTGCGTGCAGGGAAGAAACCACGTGGGAACCCCGCGGACCTCTCTCCTTCTCTTCCATTTTAATGCTTGTCTACAGAGGAATGATCAGCTATACCTTCCTTATCTGTTTTGAAATTGTACTGAAAGAGGGTTGATTCTCTTTTACTCCAAAATGTCTTCCTTGTTTTCTTCTTCTCATTTTGTTTATGTTAATTTCTACTGAGTTATAAGTACAATAGATAGCAAGCTGATCATTTAACTGTGCTTGGCCTAGTAAAGCTAGAACTGAAAGAGAATCATGAAAATATTAGGAAGAGACCTTGCAGGGACTGGCAAAGTCCTAGTGGATTTTTCTGGGTGCTACACCACCCCCTAGCATAAACGTCTTAGAAGATACAAATGTTTTTTACAAAGGCTTTGGTCCAAAGAAAAGTAGCTAAAAAGAGCATAAACTAAAGCCAAGTGACTCTTTGCTCAAAAATGTTATTTCTATTCAGTTTCTAAAATTCTACTCAATTCACAGCTCATGACCAAGGATTTCTCTCTATTGTTGTGAGTAAAACTGAGATCACCACTCAGTGTTTAAACAATGTCATAGAAACTGATAACTATTTGCTCCTGAGCCTAGCGAGTTGTCTGAGTTGTCTTACCGCTAGCAAGACCATCCTGACAACTCTTAACCTTAGCCAAAGGCTTCATTTAGATATTCGAGATCAGAACACGTTGTAAAGTATTCTAGGCATCTGGTTGCCAAAGCAAACAAAGGGGCAAACACAAAACACCCTGCTCAGCCTGTGGTAGCTGGGTTGAACTTCGACCAACCATCCTCAGTTGGAGATTCGGAAAGCAAAGAGGACTCCTGCCTTCCCTTGGAGAGTCCAGGTCTGGATCGCTTCCTAGGTCCCACTGCGCTCCCATGCCGCCTCCCTGGGATGCAAACACTCAAGTGTGAAGAGTGCCTTCCACCCGGGCAGAGTAAACAAAGACAGCTGTGGTGACCCAGCTGCCACAGAACTGTTCCCAGCATCTTCTGATGAACTTCCTGGTGTGGCCTCTCTCTCTCTCTCTCTCTCCCCTGCACACGGCCCTGGCTTTCCACCTGAGCTGCACTGCTTCTGTTAAGGACAATCTTGCCTGAAGAGCTTCCCACTCCTTGTTGGTCTTGGTTTCCTTTTTCCGAGTCTGGGATCAGATCTAAGGTAACTTAGGAAATGCCGGGCAGAACGTGAACCTGATTTACGCAGTGCACACAGTCCAGCCAAGAAGAGCCCGTGAAACATCACGTCAGGATGTCTTTCTCTAGTCTTCAAAGGGGCTCTAACAAGTTTTTCTAGAGCCCTGTGACACAACCTGAGGACTTCTGTACCTGTCTTGGATAAAGACTCCGTATTTTATTGTTAATCCTGCTAGGAGCAATTGGTACATCCTTAAGTACAGCCCTGGGCCTTCTGTGAAATCAGCACGCAGAAAAATTCATCATTCCAAACTACACAGTGAAACAGGAGACATAGCTGTCCTAGGGAAAATCGCTGGGCTCTGGTTGGGCCATCACGCAAGTGGAATTTGGAGGTTCTGTGGTTCATTTCCCCAAGATCCCCCACTCGTCTGCAGCTGCCTTGCCAAGCCCTCCACTCCATCTCTGGACTCTGGGCTTAGGGTCACCTTGAAGTCGGGTGCAGAGCTGCATGGAGCCAGGACTCCCTCCCTGCCCGTCTGTGGACTTACAACGCCTGGAGCCCCATTCTTCTGAAATTATAGGATGTGCTCTTGTGTTGACTGAGCACTTGTTTTTAATTCCCTTTCTTTTACTACTGCTAATATAATTTGTTACAGATGCTAATGTGCTTTAGTGGTAATAAGACTATAAAGTAACTGCACCGTGCACATTCTAAAAATGTATGCATTGAGGAGGCCTTACAGAGGATGGTAGTGCACAACTTAGTGCTTCTTAACGTGATTCCAAGGCGGCTTCAGGTTCCCTGCAGTCTCTCACTGGCGCTTTGCTAGAAATTCAGCAACTGAATCTGTAAATACTGAGACCACTTCCAACAGCTTTACAATTAGAACTCTGGTCCCAGACTTCCCCTGAGGAGCCCACCGTGATGGAGTCCTAACATATTCAGGGTCCATCTGGAGTCCAGTGGAAAAGCACAGTCCATGGGAGAGCGATAGTGAGGTGTTGGGGCCGGGGAGTGGGGCGGGAGAGGGATTGGTAAGGGTGCTCCGGGGAATTCCTCCTGTTGTTCAGTTGTCATTAGAGGGAGTGAGATGCAGCTACTTACAGATATTTGGTGATGATTAGAAAATACTGAAGTTCAGGGCCAGGGATTTAGCCCAGTGGTGCTACCGCCTGCCTCGAAGGCGCAAGGTCCCAAGTTCGATCCCCAGTAACAAAAAAAACCAAAAAAAAAAAAAAAAAAAAAAACCCAAAAACAAAAAAACTGAAGTTTCAAAGTTCAGAGCAAAGTTTTCTTCTCCTTGGAGGAGGACATCAGCAAGGAGAGAAGAAAAGCAGCATGGCTTCAGATCGGCTTTGTACAGCAACACATATATCACAGTCTTTACTATTCAGTTTTGCTTGTTACTATCACACACACACACACACACACACACACACACACACACACACAACATTTTCTACAAAAATTGGAGGCAGAATATGCATCCCAGGGATCGGCAAACATCTGCACAAAGAGTTTTATTGTGAGAGGCCTGGAAAACATTTATGATGCAGATTACAAATCCCTTCAGAGCAACTTCCATGTCTTCTTCTCACCACGAAGCAGGACGCTCAGGAGCAAAGCAGTGGCAATGGTCTTTTCAAGCAGAAAACTTGACGGGTTCTGCTTACACCCCAGGAACGTGGGCTCCTCCCCTCTCCCTGCCCGGGGGTCCTTACATCTTTATGCTTTGTCTTCTTGACGGCACGTGAACTGCATGCAGGGCCCTTTGGTGAGCGTGGGGAGAGTCTGGAAATCACAAAATTGTTTAGTCAATTAACATGAATCTTGGGGGACCCTAAAGCGTGGTGGAGCAATCTCACACTGAAGGTGGACTCACATAAAGTAAGGAAGCCTGTGTTTTCTCCTGCGGGCTCCACTCATAGAATGCGCAGAGCGCCATCTGCTGGTTTGCACTTTTTCAGAACTATTTTTTTTCCTACATTACTCAGTCACTTCAAATTGAGACTAGGATGTGTGTGTGTGTGTGTGTGTGCGCGCGCGCGCGTGTGTACACATACAAAGGGGAGAGACAGGAACACAGGGAAAGTTCCATGGCAAAATTCAGAAGGTTTCTTAGGTTACAAATATCCTTTATTTCACATGAAACTGTTATTATAAACCGTTATATATTAACTTTGCCTTGGTATAGAGCTTCAGTGACCTTTCCAATAAGGAACGGATTGAGTTCCCCTGTTTTAGTGTAGATATCATGAAAGTTTTATATGTAGATGGGATAATTACTTAAATCTTCTGAATGTGCCTGTGTCGGACATGAAAATTTCCACTTAGTATGAGAAGTTTTCAAATGAAATTTACAGACACATAAACAAAGCACCACCCATCACTTGTGTGCACTGAGAAGCAGCTGAAAAGCACAGGAGTTTGATCTGTGTTGTGCTGGACCATAAATACATCACATGTCATGTGTTAAATGATGCTATAGCTTTTGTTCACTTTTGAAAGATTATAAATTGGCACACTGGAGCACTCACTTGTGCTGCATATCTTATTAATTTTTTAAAATCTCCATGATCCAGGAATCTCAAGTCCTCAAAGGTGGAATAAGAAAGGTAGCGTTTAAAATTTATGTCAGACTCGAGTGCTGGTGTTGAAGGAGCAGGGCCACGCAGCACTGTGCCCACCCATCCGCGAGCCCAGGCCGGAGGGAGGCCCGGGCACTGCCCCCTCAGAGCAGCACCCAAGCAAGGTCCCTTCCCCCTGAGGACTTCAGCTTTACTGACAGCAGGTGGTAAAAAGGACAAATCCCCTTATAAAAATGAAATAAACACAAACATGCATGTGAAATTACATGCTGTAATAAGATGCAAACTGTCACCCCAGATTGTGGGGCACGATTCCAGGAATCTTGGCTGTGGCCGCTGTCCCTGTCCGGGGGGCTGCGACACCCTCGGCTGGCCCCTGTGCCACACAGAGGGGCGCTGTCTGTGAGCGGGACGCCGTCGAGGGTCACCTCAGGACAGCAGAGGCGTACGAGCAAGGATATACCTCTGGTTTCAAACTAGCAACAATGGCCAGATTGTTTAATCCTGTGTTGCTATTAAATTTTATTATCGAATGAATTTGTGTAAAGAGAAAATTAGGGTAAATGTACATAAAACTTTAAGTGAAGGCACAGAGTGGTGTTGGCTGCACAGAAGCTCCCGGAGACACACGGAAGTGCACCACTAGCCTGGCTTCGTCTCTGGACTCTTCCACTCAGCGCTCAGGGCGGAGCAAAGGAGAATCTACAAATGCGAAGGGTGGGCGATTGGAAGCCGGCTGCAGGAGGGGAGCGGGCAGAGAGCAGCTGGACGCCTTCCCCAGGGACCCGCAGCCCCACTGCGCCCTGCTCCCAAGCCGGCTCCTGGGGGAAGTGCGGTGAGCCTCTTGGAATTAAAATTTTTTTCTTAAAAAGCAAAACAACGAAGTTTAGTGAAAATGGACAAGCAGACAAAGGGACAGAGGTTCATTTCCAGCTGGTGCGTCATGGCGGGGGTGGTCATCAGGCTCCTGGATGGCTGTTTACACAGAGGCGGAAGAAGGGAAGGGAGAAATTAAAAACAGCCTCCTGCCATGAACTCACGAAACGGATTCATCCGCAGAGCACGGGCACAGGCTTCCTTCCCTCCTCGCCCTTGCCCTCCACCTCATTTCTGAGCATCCCGGGCTGGGCAGGGCTGGAAATGAAGCCGTCCCAACATGGGAGTCCTAACGCGAGTGCGGGATGCACGCCGGCCATTCGTGAGCTTTCGAGTTGGGTACTGTGGTGGAGATTCTCCCCCTTCTGCTCCCGATTGTAGATGAAGAATGGTGTCTTAATAGGCAGATGGTAAAGACAGTTAGGGGCTCAGCTGGGAGTGACATCAGCTTATTGCAAATTATTAGTTGATAAATGCTTTTGCTTACAAGCCCAGCCTTAAGCAGCTTTGTAATCAGTTTATCAGCAGCAGGCAGAATTTGACAGCTCGCCTCTGGGGGGCCATGTCACCTTTCCGCTGGTCCCCGAAAGTCAGTTGCCAGGCAGCCAGGTGGACACTGGGCCGCCGTGGTGTGGGGGCCTTCTGAGGGCCCCCGTGTGGCAAAGATTCCAGGCTTTCTGTTGGAACCGTAAAATCATCTTATCTGTTTGACTAGAGCCAGGGTTGACGGCTCAAGGCTCAGGCCCTCCAACATGAGTTCAGAAACTTTTGCAGAAAGTTCTCCCACTTTTTTAATCTGTGGGTTTAAACTTGGTGCCGGGCGCTTCAGCAAAAATCTGGATCTGACCTCATGACAGTGCTTGTTCTAGAGGGATTTCCTTGCCTTTCAAAGGGGAAAGGAAATCATCTCCTTGGGAGTCCTATTCGTACAAGAAAAAAATAAGTACCTGGGAGAGAACACAAGCCTGAGGAAGAGATCTGCTGGATCCCAGATGAGCTAGGGCCCCAGGGTGTGCGTGGAGAAGACAGGACAGTGTGGGAGGTGCCCAGCTCCGATTCTTGTCTATAAAATGGGTCAGCAGTACTGATTTCTCTGTCACATAGCTAATTCCTTTAGATCAATTAGGATGCTGATATTTCTTTGTTCTTGAGTCCTGCCCAGACCAGTATCACCCGTTAAGTTTATATTAAGAAATAAAACATATTGGATTTGAAATGACAGATAACACAGAGAGTTCAGTAAGTCCATTTCCCAAGTAGTGAGGGAAAGAGGGTACACTGTCAGGAGGCTAGAGAGCGTAACACAGAGTGCTCAAATCCTGTGCTTATGGTGATAATGCATAAGCCCCTGCTCAATCATGTCCATCAACTCCTTCTCACCCTAACAAGTTTTGTGGACTTAGTCAAACCAACAATATTCAAATAAATAAGATACAGTGGCTCCTAAAGTCATTCTTCCTCATATCTGTTGAGCTGCTTTTGATGTTTTACTTCCTAATATCCAAGGAAAAGCTACAGAGCTAATAGGGAACACAGCACTGGATTGAGAAGACAGATTTCGTGGCTGGAATGAAGTATACTGTGTTCTCGAACAACCTGGACACAGTACACAGAGTTCTGAGGAAACGCCTCCGCGGACACATTCTAGAGTGTAGGTAGCACTGTAAAAGCAAAATCTTCTCTTTGTCTTAGAAACACGGTTAACTATCTCTATCCTTCTGTGTCCCTGCTTCCTGTTCTACTTCTGTTTCTCAATGAAGATCCTAAAATCATCAGAATAGAGTAAGCGGCACTGAAACTGACCACCTGGCTTAGCAACCTCTAGTTTGAAAGTTGAGTTGATGTAAGCGTACTTACAAACATTTGGGAGTAAACCGGAACGTAGTTTTTATCCAGCTTCTGCAGTCAGGAACGGGTCCCGTTTGCCCAGCTAAGCAATTAGATGTCCCGTTGGCCACTGATGAGAGATTTGGGAGTGTCGCCTTTGCACAGCAAGTTGCAAGTTGTATTTTAACATAAAGAGTAGGCTTGCTTTCATTCTCTACACCAAGTGAGTGGAGGATACAGGGTGCCACCAGTCCATGCCCCTTGATTAGAAAGGGGGACTTCAAGAGCGAAGCAAAACTGTCCTGTCCTGTGCTCCAAACACCAAGAGCCAGGCGGGATGGGTCCTTTTGCCTGGGAGCTGCCAGGCCACTCCCAAAGCAGAGGCCAGATGGGAAGTTGAATGCCCCAAACACCGCATGCTGCCTATATAGCACAAATGAAAAATGTTAAGATGGTTACAAAACAGGAAAGACCTTTTGCAAAATGGTTTTGATTTATTGCTATGCATTGTGCAGATCTTTATCAATTATTCTTACTCTGTTGTATTCAAAAAGTACGGTAAACTATGGGTTGGCATGTTGCTGCATACAGAAAAAAGGCATTAATCAGCTCCAGATAAACAAGTGCACGCATCCAGCTCACAACTGTGAATGGTTAATACATCTTCAGCAATTTTATTATAGAAAAGGGGGTAAAAGAGTGGTACGTAATTATCTGAACTCCTCTGTGGGGCTCCCTTTGGTTGTATTAATGAAGCAGCTGGCCCATTGTCTCCCCTTAATTCCTCTGTTGTTTTAAGAATATGTCAGAGCTCTTTATTCTTTTATCAGGTGCAGTGCAGGAGGACGCACACAATACCTCATAGTCCTACTGTATTTGCCAGAGCACAAAGAAACCTCCAAAGCGGTTTTCAAAGAAGGGGCACCCATAATTTATAAGTTCCTTTCCTCACACTGCTTTTCTGTCAAGAATTTCAACCGTATTGGAGTTGAATTCATTATAAAATTTGTATGAAGCAATGTGGCTACGTATAGATATACGTCCTGTGTTCGTGTCTACACTGAGATCTGGGCAGGAGCATGTGCCTTGTTGAAATAGGGCGAGTGTTTAGCTTTCAGGGAATTACCCTGACCGATTGCTACCCACTTAGGAAAAAATTATATTTCACAGGGAGGCATGATGTGCGTGTTTGTATTTAGTAAAAATAAAAGAAGGTCATGGCCAGATAAGTATTCCCTTTTTCTCTGGCTCTAGGAAATACTGTGTGTGCGTGCGTGCGTGCGTGCGTGTGTGTGTGTGTGTGTGTGTGTGAAACTGCTCATTTATTCCTCCAGAGGACTTAAATTTCATCAGAATGTGCGTAGGAGGTCTCAGCTTCGCCCCACAGGCCAGCACTCCTGTAATCTTCATCGACTAAGCTCTGGTCACCAGCTGACCATCTTTTCGCACTGTGTATGAAGGAGATAGAGTTTTTAGATAATGCAGGAATGCCATTCTTCCTTTTAAGAAATCAAACTGCTGCAGTGACTTACTACAGAGCATAATATTCTTTATGCCAGAGCTATTCAGAATGCAGTTCAGTTATAGTACACAATTACTTTTGCTCCAAATGTCTGTGAAAACCACCCAAAGTCACCCACAGTAAAATAATCTCAAAGGTCTGGTTCACAAAGACTACCTTTTTTCACACACGTGGCTCTTTCCCTTTGTTTTTCCCCTGTCAAGGGTCTGTTTGGGAGGCTGTTTTACTGATCCCCCCCACCGAGCTCCCAGCCTAGAAAAGAGATGGGAGATTTGATGTCCTAATGCTGTGGAATAGGAGTAAATAACTTCAACTTGAAAGACCGTCCTGAGAGAGGCCATTCAGAATGCCTTATTGTAGTAAACCATCGCTTTCCTTTGTATGGCTAGGTGAGACCATACGGGTTTCTTATTTTTTAAATTAATGTTTCATATACTGGTCCCCTCTCTGTTAGTTTGAGGCTCCTTATCCTTCTGCACATTGAAGCAGAGAAATGCAAAACCCTAAATGTGACCTAGTTGGCTCAGTTTGCTGTGTATCTTTGTGCTAAGCATGGGTCTGTATCTTGATGAGCCCACCTAGGTGTGGTAGAGGTTTACAGCCTCAGGCAGCTTTGCCTTTCCTTATGTTTATAAAGCCAGTGCCTATCAGTCACATAGATAAATTAGAAAGAAACATGTATAGACATAGCACATGGAAAAGATTTTTCAGCATGCTATGTAATTATTAACCTGATTTTTACCATTGTAAGAAGCTGTGAATTGCAGATAGCATGGATGAAGTTAAATGCTTTTATTCTGGATACATTTTGCTTATACAGAACTCTATAGGTATTGGTCAAACAATGTAATTGAAGCTTTGTCAGCCCTGTAACCTAGCAACAGATAATACTGTTAGGTTACTGAATTGCTCCTGGTTGACAAGTAGGGAGTATTTTTGTGTTTATCATGTTTGCTAATGATGGGATCCTTTCCAAAAGGCCTGTCTTAATCTTAATTAGAGTTTGTCAGCAGAGGTCTGCATGACATTGTGCAGGCACCGAGTTCATAAATAATAAAAAGTGCAAGTGAAAAATTTGGCAGGATGGGCAGATATTTAAGGCCACTGCTTCTAGTGAGGGGAGCATGAATTTCCAAAATATAATCGAGTTTGAACTGTGGCTTTATTCTTCATTATCAAAACTTGTAGTACACTTCACTGCAGTTTTGACAGCAATTATGAGAAAAATTTATAAGCTTCCTGCTGAGAACCATATCTGTTTGTACAAGAACCTTGATCACATACATTACTCAGAGCAGCCGGCCCATGGGTTTTCAGGAACCACAGGGTGTTAGTTGTTACTACTTTTGACTGGACCCTGGGTGTATTTGTCCTTTATTGGGGAATGGAGAGGGATGGGAATGTGAAGCCTTGGGAGAGTGACTGTGTCTGCCGCCCAGACAGACAGAGAGAAGCCCAGAATAACCTTTCCATCCGGCCAGGGGAGGAAGGTATCAGATAGCGGCTTCACAGCCTGATGTCTTGATAAAGATTTTGTGTCCATGCAGTGGGGGTGACTTTTTGCTCCAGTTTGCAAAATGTGATCTTTCCACAATTCGGAGGAATGCAATAGTACTGATCATTCCAAATAATAAGTTACGTAGCTTCAAAATAATACAGAGACACTGCAAAGGCCAGGTGAGATCTGTTAATTTTCTAAGCTCCAAACTAGATGGGGCAGAAAGGATGCCGAGTCATTACCTCCTGTTTGTCCTCCTATCTTCACCCTTTCACTCTTCCCCCCGCCCTTCAGCTGTCACAGGAAGGGGCGTCCAGCGACACTGGACCATGGGGAGACTTCACCCCAGACCCTCTCTGCGCTGCATCCCCCACCTGGTTCCCCAGAGCTGTCCAGGCGGGGAGGCATTCTGTGAGCGTCAAAACAGCACCTGCAGCCCAGACTTTATGCCCAGAGGTTTTGGTTGGCTTGGTCAGAGGCAGGGCCAGGCGCTGATCAGCTTCTGCGCCGCGGGAATCTACAGCCTGGTCCAGATCACAGCAGGGGTCCCCCGTCAGGCAGAGCCTGGCCGCCCTGTCACGTCGAGCTCAGTTGCAATTTAGGCAGGGAGTTGGGAAGATGCCACAAAGGATTTATAAGTAGCAAGCGTGTTTCATTGGTGTGAAGAGCTCGGAACAGTGCCGGGCACACAGTGAGTGCTTTCTGAGGGCGAGCAGCTTCAAGGGGAAATTCGTGTTAGAAGGGAACTGGAAGTCACGTGTGCATTACAAATGGTATAGCCATGATTCTTCAGGTGGCAGCTGTGCGCTGAGCAGCCCCACATACGTCAGTGTGTAATCTGCCCAGTGCTGTTTTATAAAGGGGACCACCAGTACTTCTGCTTCAGAGATGACTGGAATCATCAAAGGCATCTGAGTTAGGTGCAGGGGCGTCCTGCAGCGAGCACCAGGTGGCGCTGTGACGTGTACGCCTCGTTCTTCACAGGAGCACTCCGTCCAAACGCTTGTGCAAATCACAGCTCCTGCGTCTCTTTTTCTTTCTTCCTCCAATTCTCCTCCAATTGTGTGATCCTGAACAACTTACCGTCCCAGCCTCATGATTTCACTGCAAAGTGTGAATAAGTAAAAGCTTTGTTGGGAGAAAACGCAGGCCAAGTCTTCGCACACTGCGGTGTGTGGCACATACCTGGTATCCACTCACCCACTGTGATTATTACTCGGATTAGTGTTTTGCCCACAATGGGGCTGCAATGATCTAGAGGCGTCTGCTTTGTGGCTGCCCTTGATAGTGATGTGGGTAAAACAATGTTCCAGTAACTAATAATCAGCCTCATATTTAAACCCTCCCAGCCACCTGTCAAGTGCTTTCTATGGCATTTTGCACTGAGGACAAATAAAGGTGCAGTGATTTCAGGTGCCAGTAATCCTCTGTTATTAACAAGGACTTCCATAAAACAGGATCGTTTACTCTTGAATGGCAATGCAAAGAAAGTAATAAGAATTTTATCAGTCAAGTAAAATATATTGTCAGCTGTGCACGCAGCATCTTTACACAGTGCTCTTTGTTTCCATGTTCTGTACCACTAGAGCAGATTCATACGCTGAAATTTTCTTTGACTTAAATTAGGGGATACTGGGCACACCCTGCCGTGACAGTCACAGGACGCATCCCTTGGATGCCTTACATTTCCTTGCCCTCCACTCACACTGGAATCAGGCAGAACCTTGAGTCGGCGATGCACCTTGAAGCAAATCAGAAAATTTCAGAGCAGAAATTCATGCAAAAGAAAACAGTTAACAAAGCCAAAGTAAACTTCCTGTTAGTTCAACTGTGTTTTGCTAAGTGCATGCCCGTCAAGGAAGGGTTTGTAACTGCTGCTTTGCTCCCACCTGTGGTTTGGGCGCTGTTGCTCCCACAGAGACTGCTGTGTCCGAGGTCGGCAGGGTTGGGGAACTGGAGGTTGGGACTTTAAGAGGTGGGATTTGGGGGATCCTGAGGTCAGCCAGCAGCATAGCCTTGAAAGGGACTGTGGGAGCTCAGCCTCTCTCTGCCTTCCTGTCCTGAGAGCCAGCTCTTTTCCTCACACATGCACTGCCAGCCACCGCAATGGAGCTCCCCAGAGCTGGCCCTGTGTGCTTCAAACTTCAGCTCCAGACTGTGAGCTCTATAAACCTCTTTTCATGATAAGTATTCTGCCTCAGGTGTTTCCCTATTTTAAAAAAAAGAAAGAAAGAAAACCTTGGAAAACCAAGGAAAGGGAAGACCATCTGATTTTTTGTTTTTTAAACCATCTCCTCTAAAAAGCACCATATAAAGGTCACATTTCTACCATTAGCTGTGACTAAAAATACAAGTGTTCTAGATTCACAGAGGATGCATTTTAGTGAGAAAATCATAACTTTTATAGATTTTTAAAATTGTAATAAAATACAAATAACATAACATTTGCTACTTGACCATTTTAAGTGGCATTAACAAAGTTGTACCACCACCCAGAACTTTCCATCTTGCAAATCCGAAACTCCTGCTCCCTCTTCCTGGGCCGAGGAACCCCTTCTCTCCACTGTGCTTGTCCTCTTAGGCACCTTGTACAACTGGAACCAAGATGTATCTTGTGACTGGCATTTCACTCAGTGTTTGTTCTCTCAGGAGGTGCAGCACAATGCCCTTCTCTTCTAAGATGGGAAAGCACCCCCTTGCATGTAGGCACCCCGGCGTCCTGGCCTCTCGGCCCTGGAGATGACTCTAGTCACTGTGAACAGTCTGCTTTGACAGGGGCCTGTGTTCCGATGTCCCTCCCAGGTTGTGTGCTTGTTCTTGGGTGGGTAGCGGGACTTGGAAGGAATGCTAAGTCGTGGGTCATTCCATTTTTGTGTTAAGAAGTCACCATACTGTGCAGTTGTACATCCCCTCAGACAGTGCACATGGATTCTATCTGTTCTATATCACCTCAAGCACTTGTTTTCTGGGTTTGTGATAGTGATGTTTCCATACTAAAGCCAACTGTGACATCTTGTGCTTTGTTCTCAGCAAATATGAGGCCAGCGGGCGTAAAATACCAAAAGATACCAAAATATCACTTCGACTTAGCATTTCATGCACTCAAATTGCTTTTTCACTTAGATGAATTCTACTGCAGTCCACACGAGGGTACATTAAGATTGGCAGTGTTTACCTCATCTCCAAAACATGGAGCTGGAAGCTGCTCCTCCAGGGGCACTGCCCGATGTCAGCCCATCCCGCGGAGGCAGAAGCAGGCAGAATGCTGGGTGACAGTTTCCCGCCAGCCCTTCAGAGGTGGAGCACCAGGACCCGTGCCCACTTCTGGGGTCCCCAGCAGCCATGCTTCAGAGACTTTACTTAATTAGTCATCAAAATTATGTTATAATGTGAGAGCCACCTCTCCCTAGGAGAAGTTCCCTCAGCCTGAGCATTCTAAATTCTCCAGCTCAAAACTAACCCGTTCCAAAGAGCCAATCTTTGATTTTGGGAGTGCCGTTTTCTTGGGTCAGCCTCCTCGAACTTTCCAGAAAGTTTCTCCTGGTTTAATGATGCAGCCCCTCTGTTCACACCCTCAGTACCCTGTTCTCTTCATCTGGGCTCTCCCTGGGTCCCCACATCAATGCAAAGAGTGTCCCTGGCATGCAGAACGAGCTGGCCACTTCCCAAGTACTGCCCTTCTTTCCCCAACAATGTATCTTCTTCAGCCGCCCATGGCCTGCTGCATGCACTGCAGCTTTGTAAACCTTACATTTCCAAAACAATTCGTTATTCCCATGCACGCACACACACGTGAATACATGCATCACACACACTTTGGAGTTAGATACATAAAAGTCTAAGTCGGGGACACGCGTGCAGGTCTGGGAAAGTTCACTGACCTTCCCAGGTTTCAGGTCCACTGGGAGGGAAGGTCCACCTGTCCGGTAAAGGAGCTATCGGGTTAGATGGGTGTGGTGCATGGGCCCAGCACCTGGCCTCTCGGGCCCCTGACTCACACCCAGCGCTGATCGCCATCCTCAGGGGCCTCGGCCTGCCTGTCCTCCCAGCCAGAAGCCGTGGCGTTTCCACAGCACCTTCCTCTCTCTCGCTCCTCTCCCGGACCCCAGAATTTACGCTTCTCAGCAACGGATTCAGACTTCCAGCTGCAGCGGTGGTCATGAGGCATTCCTGCCCCACAGAGCCAAGTCAGGAAAGTGTTCGCTCATTCAAATAAGTGTGCAGCACCCACCAACAGAGCGAGCGTTTCCCTCCCACGCAAACCTGGTCCCCTGCGAGCCTGCCGCGGGAGGAAGCCTGGTCCGTGCCTTTTCTGTGGGAAATGCCGCCGGGGCCACAGTCACAGCTCAGGAACGTGCGAGGCCCTAGCTTCCCGCTTTGGTGCCACCCAAAGGGCTGCCCGGGCACAGTGGCCACCGCTTCCCTCCTAACTCAGAACCAGGACCGGGCTCCTCCCGCCCTGCGCTTCCCCGCCCACCCGCACTCCTTCCGCTCCACCAGCCAGCGAGAGCTACTCCGGGTGTCCGCCCAGGCCCCGAAGTATCACCCGCTCCTCGGGTGTGGCAACCCGGGCTCACCGCGTGGCAGGGGCGCACACTGCGCGTTGAGCGGGTGGTGTCGGAGAACCGACTCCATCAGTCTGCAGCGAGCGCTTGCAGCCTAATTCGGCCCTTTAAAATTACCTGTGCTGCCTCCACCGTAGAGTGAGATAAAGTGATAACAGTGATCAAACAGGAAACGTTGCTGAGTACATCTGAAAACACAGAAATGTATTACCACTGTCGGGTCATTTAATATTGTAGAAAAACCGTTTTTTGTTTACTTTGTACTTGATATGATACAATTTTATTTTATTTATTTATTGGATCTGTTCAGAATTTCAGCATAAGCATTCCGTCACCCTGCTGCACGGCCTGTGCCGGTGACAGATGAGCCGGTGCTGGCGCTGACCTCCCTGCTTCCGCGGGCGCCCCCTGCAGCCCCTGCCTGGCACTGCAGCGCCGCTCAGGGTGGCGGGGATTCGTCCCTGAAACCCAGGGCCTGAGCTGCGCTTCCTGCTTTCCAGTTCTCGCCCTGTTCCACAGCCCAGCTCCAGGGCCTGCATGGGGGGCATCACAGGGGACCCCCTGCAGCTGCGACCGCCCGGGGCCGTGGGCAAAGGGCAGCCCTGTGAGCACCACGGCCACGCCTTCCCGGGGATGCAGCACAGCTCCCGGTGTTCTAAAGTAAATCAGCGAATGCCAGAGGAAAGGTTTCACCGAACCACAGTAAACCCTTCAGTTTCAGAAAGTGAAAAATAGGTTATTTTCTAATATGTCAATATATTTGTGTCTTAATTTGAAACTTGGGCACAAACTCGATGACTGTAGTTGTACTGTTTCACAAACATACTCTCAGGTGGTGTTTTATTTGCTTACTTTTGAAACTTAATCAGCTGGCTGACGAGTTGCCCAGGGTTTCTGTAAAACTACCTCCTGATCCTCTGGTGACTGCCGTGTGACATGCTGTTGTTATCTTCTCCACCAGATTTTTACCACAAGTTGTTTAAAAACCATGTTCTCCCAGGGTGGGAAAAATGAAGTGTGGCTGAAAAGACAGTTATGCTGAAAGACAACAGCAATATGACTTATCAGAATGGGTCCCTTTTTTGTGCTTAATGAGTACAATATACAACCTCCCAATATATATACAAAGAAAAACATCAGGTCTGCCTCGTGATCTCAGGCATAACTGCACAGGATACGTATCTAAGCCTGAGAGTGTAGATAACAAAATATAAGTGCTTTGCTGTCTAAACATGCCAAATAAATGAGCATTCACTATCACATTCCAATACATTACAACATGGACCTGCATAGTTAATTTTTCTTTTTAATGCACCACACGTGACCGCTGGAAGTGCAAAGCCAGGGTATATCTTAGTGTTTGAAGACAGAGTTCTTTTCATTTAAACAAATCTTTATTGAAATAAGCCTCTCCGAAAAGGATCTTGGGCATATCTTCTCAGGAAGTTCAGTCAGGGGGAGAGAGATAAGGCACCTACGTTATAAGGCTGTTCTAGAAGTAGGGCTCAACCAGCAAACTAATGCATGCCCAAGTGGCCGCAGGCCAAAGCAGAGGCAGTTTCATTTCAACTTTCTAGATTTTGGAGCTTTGGCGACCTGTTTTGTAGTGTGGGGCGTGTGGTACTGAGGTAATAAAAGAACTGGAGGGGTCAGAGGAAGAGATGGAGGGCAGCAGAGTGGGACCTCTGGGGGGGGAAGGATGGAACCTCCACAGGGTACTGAGGGGCAGCTGCAGGGGCTCCCGAGGCAGCTCTCCGCACTGGCTGGGCCCGCCCTCTACCGGTGTCCGGACAGCTCGGTCTCCTCATCCGTCCTCCCAGAGGCGGTTGCAAGGAGGGGCCGGGCACAGAAGGCAGTGAGGACACACAGGCCAGCGCCTGTCACAGTGCCCGTTCTCTTCCTGCAGGGGGTCAGCTGTGGTGCACAACCACGAAGGCCATCTCCGAGGGCGAGGAGCTCGTGGCCTTTGTAGTGGACTTCGACTCCAGGCTGCAGGCCGCCAGCCAGATGGGCCTGGCCGAGGGGATGTACCCGGCGCGGCTGCTCGACACCATTCAGCTGCTGCCCCAGCAGGCCGCCATGGCCTCCATCCTGCCCACGGCCATCGTCAACAGTGAGTGCCACTCACCCACTGGGACACTGCTGCCCCCCTGCCACAGCACTCACGGAGCCTGCCCACCACGCCACAGAAGCTTCCATGCCAGAGGGATAGTAATCCTGAGAGGCCACGGGGTTAGAAACTTGAAAAAAAATCAAAGCTACAAAGGCAGGGTTTGAATAGACACACCATAAAGTATAGCCTTTTAATTTTAAATTAAAACAAAGGAGAGACAGAAAATGCATTTAACTTTTTAATACTCCACATGAAAACTCTAAAGTGTGCCTGGAAAAATCTACCTTTGTGCTCCTGGTTTGTTACGATGGATACTGAGTATCATTTGTGCTCCTTGAACGCACAAAATGGAGTTTGTAGGGCAGAAAAGCAGTGGTCCAGGAGGCCCAGGATCTGTGTTCTGGACAGATCGACTCCTCTTGGGCTCCAGGAGAAAACAAGGGCAACATGCACGTCTAGGAGACAAACAAATAGCAGTACTAGTAGGTAACAGGAAAATTGCCTGTAGTCAAAAATATCCTGAAAAACTCCTGATATTCTAGTGTAGAGAGTAAATCCAAAGACAGAAAATATGTTTCAATATTAAAATGATTAAAATATTAGCAATAATTATGTTCTTGCTCTGAGACCCCCATGCATCTAACGAATACTTAGATGTCAGCTAAAGCGACTAGAATTCCTTGCCGTGCATCTGGTTGATTTTTTACTTGATCTTCACACTAATTCGGAAAGTGTGGAACTAAAAGCACTGTGAGCCCAACCTGAATTTGAGGTAAAGGATTTTCTTAAGTGGGGTTTCACTGGTCACAGCCCCTTCCTTACCCCACACACCCCCCAGATGTCTCCGTGGGAACAGTCATCAGGCGCTGACCTGACTGACCCACAGATGGTAAAGTCCTCAATGTTGGCAGCCCGGTCTTTGCTCCGTCTCGTGCCAGCACAACACGGAGCCTTGCACGTGCAGACACTCTCGTAACTGGACAAGGACGTCGAGGGCTGGCAGCAGGGCTGTCCTTATTGTCACCCTCAGAGCTTTAGCTTTTAGCAATTAGATAAAGCAACTTACATCGCTATTTTAAGGGCACGTTTTTTTCTAAACCATAAGCACTTGTATAAAATTAAATATTTTATGCTTTTAGCATGAGGGTCTTCTGCAGCCCCACCTTCTGAAGAGTCTGTGGAGAGTTAAACTGCAGAGTGCAACACTGTTTCACACAGAAAAATAGATGGGGGTCAAGAGGTGGAGGGAGGGACTGCTTAAAGGAATCAGCTATTACTTGCGTGCACCAAGCTCCGCCAGGAATGTAATCATCCTGTACTGCAAATGTGCTAAAAGTACAAAATATTAAATGAAAGCCTGTTCTTGAGCTGTGAAGCCGCACCCAAGCCCGAACCAGCACCGGAGTCTGACTGCCCAGGTCAGAACCTGAGTGCTGGCCCCAAGGTCGCAGCTGACACCTGTGCTTTCCTGCAGAGGACATCTTCCCGTGCAAGTCCTGTGGCATCTGGTACCGCAGCGAGCGGAACCTGCAGGCCCACTTGATGTACTACTGCAGCGGGAGGCAGCGCGAAGCCATCCCAGTGTCCGAAGAGAGCGAGGACGTCGCCCAGCAGGGGTCCAGCCTATGCCCCTTCCCACAGTGCACCAAGAGCTTCTCTAGCACCCGTGCCCTGGAGATTCACCTAAGCTCTCACAGCGGTAAGGGGCTGCCCAGGGCTCCCGCACAGACCCGTGCATGTCTGTCTGTCCATCTTTCCGTCTGTCCATCTGTCATCTGTCTGTTTCTCTCTCTCTCTTGCTGACTAAGCAGACTTCCCTTACGCCACTTATACTCAGAACATTTTAGGCAGAGGGCTTGGGTCTGACTTCTTTTCTAACCCCACCATGCCCAGACCATGGCCTGACCCTCCCACGATTTCTGCTAAGGCAGAGCACATGGTTTCAAAGGCATGAGCTCAACCCTTTTGTGAACTGCACCAGCACTTCCTGCATACATCAGATGACCTGTGGAAACTGACCACAGTGTTCCCATGGGTACATCAAACACGAAACTCAAATCAGCAGGCTCTGGATACATGGAATTAAGCGGTTATTTTGATAGCCCTGACAAGAAGTCACACTTCAGGGAAGTTAATGTATAAGTATGAACTATGAAATGTCATTGACTTCCAAAGTATGCGTTGTTAGAGGTTAGTTGACTTTTATGACATAGAACTACTAGTAGTAGTTCTAAAATATAGGATTATTCTTAGTACTATGTTCCCAAAGAAAAACAGGGCTGAAAAACAAACATGCTTTTCAAAAGCTATTTCTTAATAGCAAGGTAGCAAAATAAATTCCCATGTGTTATAGAATTAGATGCCAGCAATTGCTAGTTTAATCTTACAGAAGGCTAATCGTGATACTTCTTTATAAAACTGAAGTCAGTGAAGTTCACATCATTATACTAACTTTAGAACATACACTCTTGGATGGGGTGAACTAGAGTTTAGGAAAACCAGTACACACGTGGTTCCAAACTCATGGACACTGCGTGACTCCCTAGCTACTGTCTGCTGAAATAGATGTTAAGTTTTAAAAGCACTGGCTCCTACTCCAAGGTCCAATACAGGGGCAGGCTTTTTCCTTTGGGCCTACAAAGCATCACTCCTCCACCCATCCTCACGATGCCACCAGAGCTGTGTTCGTGGGAGTCATAAAGCAGAGGAGGAAGGGACAGGTGGTGGTCACAGGTAGGGAATAAAGTCAGATGCAAAACAGAAAGAACAGCAACAGAGAAGTCCTTTCAGCTACATGAAAACACGAGGTTTGGACCAAAGAGGAAAGGACAGTACGTCCCCCGTTACCACTGCAGCACTGGGGCTGCTGCCATGTGTCCAGCTTATAAATACCGAAAACAGCTCTCATCTCGGTCTGTGGGACGGAGTGGAGGAGTGGAGCCTGGCTCAGGGGTCTGCCGTCACATGGTAGTCGGGCTGGGCTTTGGTGCCCTGGGCTGGCCTGGTGACCGTCACTGTGTTCCACACCTGAGTAGAGACAGCAGCAGCTGATCAGAGTGGGTGCTGCTCCCAAATGACCTTGGTGAGTGGCTGGTGTCCACCCCAAACACCTGCCCCTCAACAGATGAGTCCTAGATTCATACCTGTGAAGTTAGAGAGCTGCTAACTACTCTGCAAGGTGGTTCCTCTTTGGATTCTTTTGCGTAGAGACCATTTCTAGTGAACAGTGTGCTCACTACTTGCACACAAGTTTTTAATGGCTACTTGATGTAGGGGAAACCTGGCTCCATCACTTGCTAGCTTTAGTCTCATAATCAACTCTCTGGGCCTCCTTGAGTTTCCTTCCTGAACCATAAAATGGAGACAATGGCCCTGACCCCACCCGGATGCCGTGATGTTCACAGAGGCGCTGTGGAGAACAGGAAGTGCAGCGACAGCCATCACCCTGCCCAGACCGTTGTATCCCACTGGGTTTCGGACAGCGAGTGCCTATCCTCTGGGAGACAACGGGTCCTGCGGAGCACCTAACTTCTGGTGAGCGGGTCCTGAGTGCACTGTGTTGTGTCTCCTAGGCGTGAAGATGGAGGAGTTCCTGCCCCCCGGAGCCAGCCTCAAGTGCACCGTGTGCAGCCACACGGCAGACTCCGTGATCAGCTTCCACCAGCACCTGTTCTCCCACCTCACGCAGGCTGCCTTCCGCTGCAGCCACTGCCACTTCGGCTTCCAGACCCAGAGGGAGCTCCTGGCGCACCAGGAGCTGCACGGCCCTGGAGGCAAACTGCCAAGGGACAGCGACCTGGAGCAGTCTCCACGCGGACCAGAAGACGGTGTGCAGCCGGCCACAGACGCGCTGGCCAGAGGCGAGCTCCCTCCGAGCCAGAAGGCCATGCAGACAAAAGACGCCAGCTCTGACACGGAGCTGGACAAGTGTGAGAAAAAGACCCAGCTCTTCCTCGCTACCCAGAGGCCTGAAATACAGCCTGCGACGAACAAGCAAAACTTTTCCTATACGAAAATCAAGTCGGAGCCCTCCAGCCCGCGGCTGGCCTCCTCTCCGGTCCAGTCCCACATGGGGCCTTCCTTCCCCGTGGGCCCTTTCCTATCTCAGTTTGCTTTTCCCCAAGATATCACGATGGTCCCGCAGGCTTCCGAGATCCTAGCCAAGATGTCCGAGCTGGTGCACAGGCGACTGAGGCACGGAAGCAGCAGCTACCCGCCCGTCATTTACAGCCCCTTGATGCCCAAGGGGGCCACTTGTTTTGAGTGTAACATAACCTTCAATAATTTGGATAATTACCTAGTGCACAAAAAGCATTACTGCAGCAGCCGGTGGCAGCAGATGGCCAAGTCCCCAGAGTTCCCTGGGGTTGCAGAAAAGATGCCAGAAGCGGTGAGCCCCAACACGGCCCAGACCTCCATCGGCCTCCTCACCCCAGCAGCTCACGCTGTGGATCCCGAGAACCCGCTTCTTCAAAGTCCCTGCATCAACTCTTCCACAGTCTTGGATCTAATTGGGCCAAACGGGAAGGGCCACGACAAGGACTTTTCCACCCAAGCTAAGAAGCTCTCCACCTCCAACAGCGGTGACGACAAAGTGAACGGAAAAGCTGTCGATGTGAAAAATGCCAGCGTCCCCTTGGTGGACGGGGAGAGCGACCCAAATAAGACGACGTGTGAGGCGTGCAACATTACCTTCAGCCGGCACGAAACGTACATGGTGCACAAGCAGTACTACTGCGCCACGCGCCACGACCCCCCGCTGAAGAGGTCCGCGTCCAGCAAAGTGCCTGCCGTGCAGAGGGCCATGCGCACCCGCAAGCGGAGGAAGATGTACGAGATGTGCCTGCCTGAGCAAGAGCAGAGGCCCGCGCTGGTCCAGCAGCGCTTCCTGGACGTGGCCAGCCTTGGCAGCCCCTGCGGCTCCAGCCAGGAGCCCGCCGCCGACGGGCTGGGTGAGTGCTACCTCCCGCGCTGCGACGTCTTCCCCGGCATAGTGTCCAAGCACTCGGAGGCGTCCCTGAGCATCGGCAAATGCGGCCCCGCGTCCAAGTGCGACGCCTCCCACTCCAGCGCGCCCTGCCTGGAGCTGGACGCGCCCATCGATCTCAGCAAGAAGTGCTTGACCCAGTCAGAGCGGACGAGCGCATCTCCCAAACGGCTGCTGGACTACCACGAGTGTACCGTGTGCAAGATCAGCTTCAACAAGGTGGAGAACTACCTGGCCCACAAGCAGAACTTCTGCCCGGTCACGGCCCACCAGCGCAGCGAGCTGTTCCCCAACCCGGAGAGCGAACGGAACAGCCCGGACGCCGGCTACGAGAGAAGTATCGTCAAGTGTGAGAAGAACGGGAACCCGAAGCAGGCCTCTCCCAACGGAAACTTATTTTCATCCCACCTGGCGACCCTTCAAGGCCTCAGAGTCTTCAGTGAAGCCGCTCAGCTCATTGCTGCGAAGGAAGAGAACAAACACTTGCTTCTACCCCAATGCCTTTACCCCGGAGCAATAAAGAAGGCCAAAGCGGCCGGCCAGCTCTCCCCGTACTACGGCATCGGGCCCAGCGACGGCCTCTCCGGGCCCCCTGGGGTGCACAGCGCTGATGCGGAGCCAAGCACAACTGCAGAAAGCCAGTCTCCCAAAGGCCAGGCTTCCTCCAATGGCTGTGCTGTGCCCAAAAGCAGAGGCATGGTCATAGTGAACGGGGGGCTGCGGCTGGAGGAGAGGCCGGCCACCACGCCGCGGCAAGAGGACATTCCCCAGAACCCGGCCCAGGACGAGGGCCACAAGTCGCCCTCCTGGATCTCGGGGAACCCGCTGGCGGCGAACGAGAACGTGTCCCCGGGCGCCCCGGCTGCCGAGGAACAGTTGTCCGGTACGGCGAAAGGCGTGAACGGCTCAGCCCCGGCCCCCGGCAGCGGCAAGTACTGCCGGCTGTGTGACATCCAGTTCAGCAACCTCTCGAACTTTATAACTCACAAGAAGTTCTACTGCTCGTCACATGCCGCCGAACACGTCAAATGAACCATGGACCCCGGACACAGCAGTCACCTTGGTACTGTGCTCAGCGTGTCGTTCTAACCGGTCTGGGACACAGCACAACACAACACAGCGAGCTGCTGGAGTTACGTCTGGCGATCAGAAGTTAATGCAGTAACGGCCGGCCTGAAGACTTGAGGTGTAATTTCATTACAGTCCATTAGTAAAGTGTATTCTTGGTGCCATTTTCAAAGAATTAATTTATTTTACCAGCAGTATTCATAGCTGTGGTTATGTTATTTTTTATTTAAAAACTTTATATTAAAGTCATTTGTAATGTTATTGTATAGTTATTGTGTAGCACATATGGTTTGCACTGTATATAGGTTTTAAAGAAAATAGTCACAGACAATACAGAACAGCATTTTAAACATAGCTTCAGAAGCACTTGTGTATCTGGATTTTTTCCTTTCATGCTGTTGCAGATATATGTATGTGCTAAAATATAACTTGCAAAGATGTTCGAAATACACATGCTGTGAGTTCGCCTTAAGATTTCAACCTTTGGATGATCAGGCCCTGTTTGTACTTTATATTTTAGCACATACACACAGTCTTAGGCACTAGGCTTCGCATTTGTATGTAGCCGTATATTTCTGTCCATTTCTTAATCTTAAACATGTATGTTAAATGAAGATGGCAGTTTTTTTTTTCTTGTACAGTACTTGTATTTTCTTTCGCTGATGCAGCTGTCGATTTTTAAACCTTTGCTGTTAAATGCAATACTTTGTAAAGATGAACAAAATTACTGGAAGCAGTATTGTAAGGAAGGAGGTAGTATTAACCAGTTTTATCTTTTGAAAGGCACAGTCTAAAGGGAAACCCTGAACTCAATGCTGCAAGTATGAATTTAATTCATATAGAAGATCTATTTAAGTAAGAGTAGCAATACTGCACCTGGTGATCACAAAGATAATGTTCTACTTCTGATAGAAATAATTTCTCAACAAATGTTGTTACTATGCATGTATATGGATGGAATAAAATTCCAGGTTGTTGGAGAAGTCTGGCCTCCTTGTTGATCGTCGGTACCAAAGGCCCCAGAGGGCTTTGCGTGTGCCACAGGTGAAACAACAGCACTTAGACTAGTTACATGTTAGGCTTTGCTGCCAGACTGGTTACTAAACAGGCGGTGACTCCTGCTTAATTCAGTGGACCCCAACTGTGGTCAGGGATTTCTGTCCTACAGAACAATCCCCAAAACTAAAACTATTCCTCTTTTCACCACCCTGTCCCAGACGAACCCACTGATGCTAATAATCCTGCCTCAATTTCAAATGAATCAACACAGGTATCTTAATATTGAAACTAAACCTGAAAGATCAGTGCAGAATCAGTGCACACCATTTGAAGGCCTGTTAATCAGGGATATATTCATTTTCTGGCACCCCTACGCATTAGATGTGTTGAGTGCAGGCATCCCAAAGCTAAGGAGGCCAGGGGCTCCATCTTGCTCACAGACTTCACGGCCACATCACACTCCTTTCTCCATAACCCAGTAGGCAAGTCACAGACACCAATGAAAGGCTTAGGTGTCTGATTTGTGGCCATCTTCTCTAAGAAGAAACATTTCCAGGACACGACTTCCCACCACCTAGGATGCCAGAACGTGGCCCAACCAGTGGAGATGTCCCTGCTACGCCATCCTGTGTGAGACCATGCTCAGGAGCACGGCCACCTTTTCCTGGTCATGACCACGGCACCCATATCCCACGCTGTGGCTTCCAGAGAAAAGACACTGCTTCCCAGCCCCACCAAAGCCCAGGTATCGGACACATCACACTCCAACAAAACGTTTCCTTAAAGTTCAAGGTGACAGAAGGGAAAGGCAACAGAAAATGGAAACAGCCCAGCTCGGATCCCTGGGCCCTGCTTGGGCCAGAGACTATTTCCCACGTGGTCCAGGATGGACGTGTCCTCCCTGCAATCCAGCCTCTGGAACACTCTACTGTTTGCCATGCGATCAACCCTTCTGGGAGCCTCGGCTCCAAAACCGCAGCCCCTGAAGACCCCGAAATGTTCTGAAACAGGCAGGTTGGTGTCTTCCTGCCCTAGGTGCAGAGGTACTAGTGCTGGTCCAGAGCTTTTAAACAACAAAGTTCACGTCCTCAGGGCCCCTGCTCATTTTCTCTGCAGAACTGCTTCAAGATTACACTCCACAGGGCAGCCCACTTTCCAGTCCCCCTCTGTCTCTCTTAGACAGAAGCTATCTTTCTCTCAATGAATTTTTCCTGCTGTTAGATAAATAAAATAAACATGACGTAGCATAACAACAGAAATAAAGCACTTAGGAAAACTTAAATTTGTGCTTGGAAAAATTTCTGTAATGGAAAATGGTTTATCTCATAGGCAACTTTTTCTAATAATTTATGAAGTGATCGAGATTCCTGAAGTTACCTTATATCAAATACTTCCATCCAGAAAAAAAAGGATCTTTGCTTTTGTCACCTAGCAACGTTAATAAGTATCAGCCTTCTGAATGAAAGTGTGGGTCTTCTGACTCTAGGTAGCTCTGCCCACAACAAACTCCATCTTTCTTTCCGCCTTTTTTTTTTTTCCTATTTATTTTTTGAGGCAGGGTCTCTCTCCATAATCAAGTCCGCCCTTGAACTCACTGTGCAGTCCAGGCTGGCCTCAAACTTGTAGTAATCCTCCTGCCTCAGCCTCATGAGTGCTAGGACCACAGGTGTGTACCACCACGCCCTGTTCTCAATCTTTATTCTTAAAAGCCAAAGTTGCTTGGAGTTTTCCAATTCCCTAATCTTCAAAGATTCCAAATCATCTCAGCTTGAGTCTCTTTGTCACATAATAAAGGAAATTCGTATGTAATGGATATTTTTAATTTCCCAGCAATCCCCAATTTCAATATTTAACTTCAACATTATTCCCCAACAGCTAAACTTTGTAAGGTTTCTTCTGAAAAGTACCAATCATAATTATTGCATCCAAACTTAAGAAACTGCGTTCCCTCCTTTGTGTGTGTAATTGATTGAGCCCAGCAGTATTCAGGGTTCAGCCAGCCCAACTCCTGTTTTCTTGAGTTAATCTGAGCCATTTCCGTATGCTGTTCCTGCTGGACAATCACAGAGAAGATGCACAGATATCGCAAAGGGAAATCCAAGACTCTCAGTGAGTATTTGTCATCAGTGGATCACGTAAAGAGCCGTAGGCAGGAATCCTGTGGTTACAAGTAGCAGAAACATCAGTGCGGACAAACGGTGAGAGGAGAGGCACCCTGGCCTCGTCAGCTCGTCGGTGGAAAGGCACAAGCTGCCAGGTTGCTTTTTGAGCATGGATCCTGATTTCACAGCCACTGGGAGCAGAAAACTGTGCACTGTAACAGGAGTCTTTTTTTCCGGAGAAGTTAGTACTTGGCACAGGTATTTCCAAAGGGCAAGAGTCACCCAGAGCTGGGAAGCGTGTAGAGCTGAGGAGCCTTGGGAAGGCAGAAGAGGAGCTATCACCTTATAGCCTGGAGAAGCAGGTGGCATTCGGGCCTCCCAGGAGCAGAGCTGTCACAGTGCCCAGGCCTCTGCTGCTGGGGATCCACTGCCCAGCCAGGCGGGAACCAGGAGGCCTAGGTCTCAAAGTTCAAGCTGCCACCAGTGCCACAGAGAAGGCCAAGCCCCGGAGAGGCTGCTGAGGCTGCTGTGGGGAGAGCACACACCTGTGCAGATCCGGGGCGCTGGTGACATAGCTGCCCACGTCCTGCTGCGGTCACCAAAAGAGTCCTCCTTTCCTCCAGCCCTAGCATCCAGCGGTGCCTCCCCTTGGCAGCAGAGCGCGGCAGGGAAACTGGATCCTTCTTTCTGGGATGAACAGGTGCAGCTGGCAGCTCAGTGTGGACAGCACTGTGCTTCCTTCCCGGCCTCTTTTCTCCTCTGAGGGGCCACAGAACGCCCCAGGGCCACTGAAACCCCAGCTGCTGTCTGCCTCTCGTTCTGACATCCGAGCATCGCTCAGACATTCTGGAGGCAGAAGCGAGCTGTTTCCTGGGCGCCGGGACCAGGAAACAAACTCATGAGCTCAGTCCAAAGGCACCCTGCACCCGCTGGAGCCCAGAGCCTATGGTGGGGCGCGGGCAGCTCATCCCCTCCAGAGGCTCTGCAGCTGTCCGCTCCCTTGTGGTGTGAGGCTCTCGTCCCTGCCCTGGGCACACTGCGTGCCCCTGCCTGTGCCCCTCCCTCTGTGTAAGAACACCGCGACACGGGATGGCAGCGTTCTCCCCGCAGGAAGCTCATTCACCGGCCGCAGTCGCTTCCCCTCGTCAGCTGCAGGTACAGGTCAGCGGGGCAGAACCTGGCCACTCCAGTCTCCAAGACGACATCCCACGGCGAAGAAGGCGTCTCCACGCACAGCTCTGGGACGGCCGCTCGGAATCCCGGGCTGAGATGCAGGGAGTCTGCTGCGACCCTGCATCAGGCTGCGTACCTGTTTGGGCTTCACAAGTCCAATTAATTCAGCCAATCACAAAAAATCAGACGCCAGCAGGCAGAAGTTTACTTTGGCGCTATCTAGAAAAAAAGAGTTTGCTCAGTGTATTAATAGAGTAAACAGGATTGAAAGAAAATAAACTGTTTTCAGGGATCGTCACACCCCATTTCGCATACAAATCATATACTAGTTTCACACAGTTTTTATCTTCGTGTTAAAGCAGTGTCAGGGCTTCCGACCTGCGGCCCTCCTTTACCACCTGTTCCACTTTCTGTGTGTGACCACCCTGGCTCAGACGGAAAACGGATCGAAGTCACAGGACCCCAAACACCCGCCCTGTCGTTGGGTTCAGGGACCAACAAATGGAGTAAAATGCAGGGTTGTTATATCTATTTACAAATACACAGCGACGAAATGATCTTTTAAATTAAAAGCATGTTCTTGAACAATCCAGTACATAAAAGCAACATACTGACTGTTGTGGCAGCTTAAAGTGAGACTGAGGCCAGAGAAGCGACGTTCTAGGTGGACCAGGAAGGAAGCTGGGCACCGTGGTACTGCGAGACACAGGACCTCAGTGATGCCAGCCCTGCCCCACCATCCCAGCCCCCCTGGAGCTTGATGGCTCTGCTCCCTCCACTGTCCCTGTCTTTCCTTCCACAGGGTGCTGACTCTTAAAAGGAACTAATTATTCACAAATAAATACGTATCTCAGATGCACAGTGACGCGCCAGCACCATAGGGACTCTCACCAACACCCCCACTGCTGTCCTCAGCGGGAGGAGCACTGCCTCAGGCCCGCCCAGACCCTGGAGGACTGGGGAGACCCCGCTGAGGGTGGGGCCTGCCCTGAGGGCGCACTGCTCTCCCCGGATGGGATGAGTACTCATGAGGCTGCCCCGTGCCCCAGCCCACGGTGCCAGGGCAAGGACACGTCCTTCTATACCATCCCTGCTGAACTCAGCCGCCAGGTTCCTTCTGATGCGCAGCTCTTTGTTCCCACCCTATTCCAGCTTGGGGCCTCTCCCTGACACATGCAGGGTGAGTTCGTACCAATCTGCAACTGCATTCCCATCACACGCAGGGTGACGGGCCTCCCTGGGCTCTGGGTGGGGCAGTGTGGAAGGGAATGCACTTGCTGCCCCGCTCTGTGGCTGCACACAGACCAAGAACACGCGAGGAAGAGTCCGGTTGGGCTGGGGCTCCTGGGGAAACGGGGCACAACTGCAGGTACCATCCACAAACGAGCCATTTGGGTAAGGAAAGCAGAGGATGCCAGGGTACAGGAGAAAGGGGCCGGGAAACTAGGTTAGAGCCCTCTAGCTGGAAAGGAGCCTCTGCCAAACCAAGCACTGAGAAAATAATTCATGTGGTGGTGACTACAGCTCCCACCTTGCTTTTCCCAGAAACCCGTCAGGGAGCGAGCACCAGCCACTCTGTTGCCTTGGCTGGCCGCGCAGGAATACCTGACTTCTTCTCTGGCTCCCCGCCGCCACTGCAGCTCCTGAGGACACCCCCACCCCCGCTGTCCGCTCTTCCTTCCCAACGCGT